TGTCAGTCAAACGGCAGGCCGACTCTATGTAATGTAATACAGGGCGTTTGTTTTATCTCAATACAGTGAAATATCTGGCGTGACAATGAACGTGTTAATAAGTAAATGTTGTTCAAATTATGTCGTGTTTGATGTAGTTTTCATCAGAAAAATCTCATCAATATGTTAAGAAAAATTTCGGGATAAAAGAACGTAAAATTAAAAAAGTTGGTATTTAATTCGCTTGGTTGCCTCGACTCATGTTTCCTGCTTATCTTTTATTCGCTGTCCTTGTCTACGTTTGGCAAACTACAAAGGCGGGCGCGAGGCTCGAAAACGTAGTCCCTGACTCTACGAGTGTCAGGTTTAGCTTCCTTGCGGTCTGACAGTTGTGGAGAATATACTGTATTATGTTTTTTTTCTCTTCTTTTTTTTTTATATATAATTCCTTTAACATTTTAGACATTTTGAATGGTTTATGTGTTTGTTCAATTTGTGGATTATCTTTCTTGATATCGGTGGATTTCTTTTTTTCTTGGTTATTTGTTAGCGTATCGTTGATGCACGTCGCGTTCCAACTATGTGACTCGACGCGCACTTGTGATACTGTTGCCCGCCAAAGTAATCTTAGACAACTTATTCGAAATCTAATTCGCTCGAACGTTAGCAAAACGTGGAGTGCGTCATGAACGATTGACGACATTGTTTCAAAATGATTCGAGTGGTCGATCGCGACTCGAAATGTGATTTTGTGTCTCCTCGAAAGACTGAAGAGTATATATTGATCGCTCGATAGAATCTTTGCTAATGCTACTCGATCGCCGATTTTTCGTGGAGTCTGAAGTGACTCCCCCGCCAAGTGCAAGAAGGCACGCTGATTGATTTTTCACGAAAGTACAAATTACCAATCAACATGCCCCTTGAGTGTCACCCACCCTTCCATTGCGCCCTTAGCGCGCTTTTCCTTGGAAGGAGTGGGGCCATACCTGCGGGTACGCGGAATCTTCGCTATCCTTCGGTGACGCGTCGGAAATTCCCGCCAGGTCAACCCTCGGCCGAGAGTGCCGTTATACGCACGTGTGGATTGACCCTTCAGGAACCCTGGTTTATGACATGCCTTCGGTTGTTGAGTACGCGGAAAAGTCGAAATTCTAAAGGCATTGTTCTGTAAGAAATTACTTATTTTTTCACGGAGCTACGAAGCGTCTCTGTTCTGAAAAATAACCTTGTAGTGCGAGCGTGCCATAAACTGGGTCAACGAAGAACCCAAGCGTTCCGTACCTGCGCGACGGAACATTATCTGTTATTTCTTGTTGAAGAAATGGTTGGAACATTTTTACTTAAGTGTTCTGCAAATGTTTCAGTTCTTTCTTTATCATTGTCGGTTTCTTTTATCTTCCTTGTCACCTTCCATAGGGAGTAGTCTGTGTCTTTTGCGTCGGAGATCATTTTTCAACGTAGTTCTGTATGGCTTCTTCTTTTCATTTCACAAGTAGTGCCTTTATTTTCTCTAATTGCTCTCTTCACTTTACTTTTCTCTCGAGAATTTTCTAGATGAGACTGCCCGATTGATTGCATTCTGATTTTCCGTTTTTTTTTTCTTCTTTTTTTTTCAGCAATGTTTTCATTCGATCGCGTCAGGGATCTTGTCGGTGGAAACGAAGCTTCCTCAATGAGAAAAAAAAAAAAACGTTACTCCACATTTTCGATTTGTTTTCTTGCCTGAATCGAGCAATATCACCTGGTTCGAGGACAATTGTATCACGGAGATTTTTAAGTAACTTTTTTAACAAGGTTTCAGCAACTAACACGATATCTATTTTATTATTAGTCAGAGATTTAATTAACTCCCGAATTTTCTTTTCCAATCAGACCATTCACATTCCAGATGCCAATCCTGTATGATTGATTTGCAATTATTTCATTTTAGAGATCATGGAAGTTAGTAAGTTTTTTATTGTATTTATACTTGTCATTAGCTGCATTTAACATGCTTTCGAATTTTTGGCGACAAAAATGATTTCTCTTGCATGACCGAGTTCGAATTTCGCGCTAGTTTTGTACTATCTATCTGGTACACTAATTGCTTGTGAATTGTTTTTTTCTTCTCTTTTTCTCTCAGTTCCGAAAACGTCGTTTTCCATTCAATTGCTTTCGTATGATAATACCCTTTAATAACTAGCAGAATGGTATCCTGAACGATTTACACTGATTTTGAATTTCTTCATTTGCGGTAAAAAAAAAAAAAGAAAGTATTTGCCTGCAGATATTTCACGTAACCGAGGATTTTTATTGCAACAATTCTTTCTACCCTCCTATACATGTAGTATATTTCTTTCTTTACATTATAATAAACGTTTGATGTTGTATACTTCCTTGTTGCTTAATTTCAACTCACAACTATTTAGTACTGTTAGAAATTTTTGTCTGATTGTTTAGTATACTGAATATGCATAGTAATACCTTATTATTCAATCCTTTCTTTAATTTCTAGGCCTCTGATTATTACTTTCACACTTTCTTTAGTTGTGCAAACTGATAAGCATAGAATTAGGTCACTCAATTTAATATTAACACAACTATTTCTCTGTGCTAATTAGATGTATTTTTATTTGCTTCTTACTCAATACTATGAAAGTGTATTGATCTTTTACTATTCGTTTCCAATAGTTCCATCAAAAGTGTTCAAGTGCTCTACTCCACAGATAAATTATAGGAAGTGATTTAGTTGATTTAGACTCTCCAATTGGGAGTTCCCCATCTATTTAGGTCATACATCAATTGTTTTCTTTTTTTAAAGTCAGGTTGTTGATTTATTTAACTAACATACTTGTAGTTTATGCTTCCTTTATTTTATTTTTCTTTCTTTTTTGTTTAAGGTAATTACATATTATCTGCATCATTCCATGGCCATCTTTCTTTACTTTGAACAACAGAATGTTCATTCAAAATTCAACAATTTTGCGGATGCACGTTGTCATTTTGGCTGTGGTGACCGGTTTAACATGGACAATATCGCGTGTTAAAACGCTATCCGTTGCTGTATTGGTGTAATTGGGAGCTGGTTTATCACTCATGTAGCTTTCATTGTGTTGTACTGTCGTCGATGTTGCGATGGAAACGCAAGAACGTTCCGATGAAGTTCAGATAATTTATTTCATTAAATATTCACTTTTATTCTATTCAACATATATCATACGATTGTTTAACACTCTTATAAGTTACTTCCAACGAGTACAAATATCCAGAAAGAAAATTAATGTGTATAGTCGGTGGAACTGAAATTCACCAGACTAACGCTTAATTAAGAATTAATATCGTGCAGGTTTAACAAAAGATTGTAAGCAGAAATTTGAAATATTGTCACTGTTTAACGCTTTAATTTACCGTAAATTTAATTTAATATAATTTCAAATATTGTCTCTGTTTAACGCTTTAATTTACTATAATTTGAAATATCGTCACTGTTTAACGCTTTAATTTACCATAAATTTATTTTACTGTAATTTCAAATATCGTCACTTTTTAACGCTTTAATTCACTACCTCGCTACATCGCTTCCACTGACTATACGTCTAACAGCAGTTCGTTCGTAATGTAAAGATGAACGTCCAGAACGAAAGAATGAAAATTTTCAAACGCATCTGTGTACAATGAACTTTCGACCAATCGCGGAGATATCGTCTCTCTTCCAGCGATTCGATGTTTTATTCAATGGTCGAGCTACTGTATATCCAACGGGGGAATCCTGGTAAAAGTTTGATTGCAAAGTTTCCCGTCCCGTGGCTAAAGTTTCTCGAGATACCGGACCACTTCTATCCGCGAAAACAAAGTTTTCCCTTCCTTCTGGACATGCAATCAGCTGAAACGTTCAAACTTTCGATCCAGATCGAACCAAGTTTCGAACGACATTGCTGGATTACACCAATTGCGCCATTGTAGTATTATACCAACTCTTTTCTTCGAGTTTACCTCTGATATGCTAATAGAATTGTTTCTGATTTTAGGTAAAAACGTGTCTGATTATTTCACTGGGTCAAACTGGCGGGTGCATCCTGATTGGCTGTACTGCAAGTAAGTGAAGATTTTCCTATTTTATAGGTATCACTACGAAGATGACAGAACGTTCAATAACTCGGAACTGCAGTTGTTGCACTTCCTAGAGCGAACCCGCCAGCCAGGCTGGAAGTGGAACGACATGAAACAACCGTCCCAGCCGCCAGAGTCTCAGGCCACGGGTTCCGGTAACGACACTCACCGTAAATCAAAGCGTAAGCTACGGTTCATCCACCTTAATCTGTCACGCGCTTAATAAATGACGACTGACAGACACTTTTTATACGAATAGCTACTGCATACAAAGCGGATAAAGACTCGTACTACTGCGACAGGGATCTTCTGCTGAGTTTGGTATTCGACGCAAAGGTAACCGAGTGGTTTGCGAACCCCAGCACTGCACGCGAAGAGAAAGGGTGAGCATCGATGTGATTTTTCTCATTTAGAGAAACATTGATGAAACGTTTGATGAGATAGGAAATATTCGTTGAATTGTACAGTAAGCTAAAGAATGATTGTTCTGGGAATGTTAACACTTTGCACTTCCACTGGCGGACATTCGTATATAATATTCTATACAATCCCATTCCAGGTTTTGTAGCAAATTGATAGAAGAAATGAAAATAAATAAATTTGTAATTTTTTTCTTTTCAAAAGTTTCACCGCAAAAGTGTGTTAAAGTGCAAAGAGTTAAGTTACCTCTTTTTCTTTCGAGCGATACATTATTGGATAGATCAAGTGATATTTATAATAGAGGAAAAATGAAAGGAAGGAAATGTCCTACGTCACTGCACTGTTAAAACAGTTGCAGTGAAATTTATTTTTTATTTCTCTATGTTTTTACGTTCTCTGCACAGTTCTTCTATGGTTTCTTTGGTTTTCTCGTACTATTTCATTCTGTCAGGATTTTAACGAAAAGTGCACCCATTTCTTTTTTTACTAATACTGACCACTTTGACGCCATGCAGACCTTTAGCTAGGCTGATGAATCTGCTGCCCAGGTAACGTGCAACACAACGCACCTTACGTTCTTAGAAATTAAAACAGTTGTCTACGGTGTTCTGCTGCTTTTTATCTCTGTACAACCTTTCCTCGACCCTTTTTCTACCCCCTTTTCTTTCTATTCATCTCTGTTTATTCTTAATGTTGGCTAGTTTATTAATTCCGTTTACCGTTAAACAAGACACTATTTTTTAATGTTAATTAAAAATCCCTTCCATCTTCCTAATACTTCAGAAATTATTCTTCTGTTACTCCTTGCGCAATTTTTTTAGTTAACGAAAAAGGTATGAAATCCTCTTTCAGAATTGGGAGATTAAAGAAGAGAAACACTTTGATGACCCAGAGAACTGGAGAATCTTTTCTTAATCAATATTGTACAGTAGTACCGTTGATTATTGATTAACATACTCGTTTGGAAAGCTTTCTTTGATCTTCTTTCAATTTCTCATGCAAAATATATATTCTAACTTGACAAATACCAAAGAAAGCAATGCAAATGGGTGGCCAGTGCTCGGTAATCAGTAATTTCCTCATAAGCATTGTCGCAATAAGCAGTATCTTAGAGAAGCAACGGTGAAAAATGTATTCAAAGGAGAGAATTCTAGTTTGTCCAGAGTTCTGATATTGTTCTTCTTGTAGGAAAGAGTTCCAACAACGTTTCGGTGTAACCGTCGCCTTCATGGCCACTCACAGTGGTCTGACAAGATGGCAGGACTTTCTGATGGACGAGGAAGGCACCGTTCCTGATGATCACTTCATCAAGATGTATTCAAGAGCCATAGATGAAGTGTGGTACAAGCGTGCCGTGGAGCAGCACTATGTGCAACCAGAGAGCTTCGTATTTTCCGTGCCAATCGACGAGGAGGGTGCTGATAATACCACCCTCGTCACTGCCAGTCGTGCCATTTTTATCGGTAAACTGGACGAAAATTTTCGTTGAAACTATCGAATAAAATTGGAAGAGATGGCAGAAGGATGAACGTGTAGGAAACAAAATATTATTTTCTTTTTCATTTTTCAGAATCTCAAAACGGAAAGGCGCCAGCAGCAGTTGTTGGTTTCCAGTTCCAGCATATTGCTCTTCAGGGTCTCTTTCAGAACATCACATTCAGCTGCGAAGGTCTGGGCAATTGTCTTGTACACTGTGGCAAAACTAACTGGACCTGCTATCTGATCGACAACAATGGATACGTGATCGCAGCTGAAGACGAGTCTGACGCTGGAAAATTCTTCGGTGAATTGAGAGGTCCAATCATGTCCAGTTTAGTGAAAGAAGGTGTCTTCGAAAGGATCAGGATATTCGATTATCAGGCGGTCTGCTTTAAGGCTACATCAACGTCTAACAATGCAAACATTTTGTTGACGGTAAGAACACTTTAACGAAGAAGATTTTTGTAATATTTAATATTGTTACGAGTCACGTAGATATACAGAGTGTGATCATACGAAAGATATTTCATATGTAACTTCAATGGTAACATAGGACTAATACGTTGCAAAGAATAGTCTCGGTCGGTAAAGAAGGACAGCCCTCTTACTTCTAGAGCGAACGTCAGCGGTTTGATTTATTTATTGCTAAATTATGTACAGCCATGGAAAAACGCACAGAGGATGATCTCGTGGCTCGTCGGTCAAGCAGCCTGGGCTTGGGCCAAAGCTGGCATTTGGGAATCCGAGTACGCTGAAGCATATGCTTATCCTAAAGACGAAGATGGTATCCACGAAGATTATCAAGAGAACGAAGATAAACCACCAGCAGACGCAAAGGATGAGAAACTGTTCGACCAGAAGGTCCTGATCAATCGAACTCGACCTGAAGCTTGCGATCAAGAAGTAAATTTCGAAATAATCAACTACCTCCTAATACATTTGTCAATTTTATCAGACATAAAAATGACGTTATCTTACTTTGTCAGGTGTATCTGTACCTGCGGAATACATCATTCGAAACGTTCGACATAGAATCAGACGCTGATGGAGAATGTACAAGGCCATATGTGGTGCAACCGGTAGATTTCAGTAACATGTTACTCCTGGTAGTGAACACGGATTGTGGACAGACAGATATGCCTCCTCTAAGCGTCATCCCGGAAGAGGTTATGTACGAGAACAACTCTTTGGTGTGTCAGAAGGCGCTCACCACCCTGAACAGGAAAAGACCACAGTCTTGCATTCGTAGCCATCCAAGAGAGAGCGAGATCAAAGATCTCTGTGGCTTAGGTTCAAATGTGGCGCCGAATATCTACCTCCTGTTTCTCTTATCGACCGCCTGTGCTCTCCTTCAACGAGTCGTTTTCGGTCAAAATTAATTTTAGGTTAATTTATCTGCTAGGACGTCGATCTTGTGCCGGTTCAAAGTCGATGACGAAAAATAGCGATTACACGTATCGATTAAGCATTAACACGCTAACGATTGCTTTGGTGAAGTGTATGATAACATGGATCGGTGTATACATACGTCTCAGAACGTTTTTTCAACGTTCACGGGAATGTATTACTTTTGCCAACGTCGTTAAAGATACTAATGGAGGAAAAGTGCATTTCGAGACGATTCGTTGCGATATTGATCGATGTTTCTTTATTTTTTTGCCCCTTTTTTTCTTGTGATAGTTATCGCGACTTCAAGATGTTTTAACGTTTATAGCGACGCTGTAACAGGGAGGACTTCTCCGTGTCCTGGTGCTGTGTTCCTCTGGCTGGTACTTTGAAAAACGCGCAGGCAGGGTCTGTGCAATTGTATTAACTAGTCCGAATATCAGCGTACCTCTCGAGGATCATAGTGTGTCTACGTGATCAGGGTTTAAAGGGATCGTGAAGGATATACCCGTGATTCGGTGCCGAACTAGTCCTAAAGAAGAACCTTACTGCCCGAAATACGGTGTCTCTAATCCGTATGCGTCCCTGCTCTATCTATTCTCTCCATCTCTTTTCTTTATTCGTGTTTTCACTATCCTTATTATACGTATTCATTAAACTTTAATGGCGCTTAGGTCATAACGATTAAAACGAGATATTGAACTTATAGAAGAACAATTGATAGTTTCTACTTGACCAGGTTTGACGAAGGTTTTACATTGCTTGTTTTTCAATTAAAACTGGGGATAATCAAAATTTTATAATTCATCGGAACAGTCATAATATGAAAAAATGTTACAGAAAGAGGTTATGAGGAAGTGTTGAATGAAGAAACATAATATACACTGCTCGTTCAAATACTGTCGCTACTAGTTATTCTAAGAATCGCGATGTCGACCAATCTATGCGTAGGAAGATTCCACAATGTCCAGAATGCATATAACCCGTTTAAAATCTGTATTTAAAGAGCGGCACAAAGGAAGAAGTTAATTCGCGCGAGAAACGCTCGTAGGTGGACGGACGCACCTACATTTCGTGGGATAATCGGTAGACGGAAGTTGCGATGAAATGATGAAATCGCATTTGTCCGCGAACTTAATTCGCCACGACCGCTGATGTTAATTTTCAGAGCATTAAACTAGGTAGGATTTTATAGAGGACTACATACGTCGGAGCAGGGTCGTATACAAGAGCCACACGATACTATGAGACACATTCTCTCATACACGTACACACACTTACACACATACATTTTGCGCTTTGTACATTAACCGATGTAAAACGTGTCGTTTGATATTTATAGAGATTACGAATATATTAATTTTGTATATTAATGTATTATACGAGAGTTACAAGGATGTGTGCCTTTGGACACGCGGTTACGAGACAAAACGAAACAAAAAAAAAAAACAAGAAATCTTGTTGTATGTTTTTCAAATAAACAACTGAACTCTCTACTTCGCTAGCTCTCTGCTTCTTTGAGCGAAACAGAAAGAACTTAACAATTAAACAAGACGTGGCGAGTTTCATCCGAAAAACGAAAATGATGTTACTTGTATTACACAGAGTTTATTACAATTTGCTATGTACAATGGCTTGCCTATGTAAATGAAAATCGTTTCTTATCAAAATGGCAAATGTTGAAAGAATCAGTGTTACTTCAATTGACTATCCGTCTTCTCTATAATCTCCAGCAAGGTTTTCTGCGACATATCCTTGTTGAGTCTATCCTCCAGTTCTTCCAGACCGACTCCATCTCTCATAAAATCTTTCAAATTATGCATCGTACCATTTGATATCCTATGGTCCGTCACGCGATCTTGATTGAAATTATACGTTCTAATCTTCTCGTTTCTTAATTTCGATCCCATTTGTTTCTTCCGCATTTCGCTAATAATCGAGTCATGCTCGTTCATTTGCTCCTCATATAACAAACTTTTCAATTTCATCAGAGCTAGTTTTTTATTTTTAATTTGAGATCTATCTGTGTGGCAGGTTACAACTTTGCCAGTAGGTAGATGAGTTATTCTAATTGCAGAATTTGTAGAATTTACATGCTGTCCTCCTGGACCAGATGCTTTCTTTGCTTCTATTTTTAAATCCTTCTCTTCTAATTGAATCTCCACATCCTTAGGTTCTGGAATAATTGTCACAACAGCTGTACTTGTATGCAAACGGCCAGACTTCTCTGTTGCTGGAACTCGTTGAACTCTATGTACACCACTTTCATACTGTAACTTCTCAAAGGCTTTACTATCAGATATTAGCAAAGAAGCTTTCCTTAACCCGTTTGGCTCACATTCAAGTAATTCCATTATCTCATAAGTAAATCCTAGATAGTCAAGGTAGCCTATATACATATTAAATAAGTCCTGAACGAATATCATAGCTTCTTGACCACCTACACCTGGTACAACCTCCATAATAACATTATCATAATATCCTCCACCTAAATGCTGTAGAATAATATTGATTATTTTTTCATCAACTTCCAACAATTGTTGTTTATATAATGATTCTTCTTCTTTTGCAAGGTCCTTCATTTCTTCATTTCCACTGACTAAAAATAAGTGATATATTCATTAAATACTAAGACAAAAGAATATTTCACTGTACAGTGGCATAAACAATGCAGAATACTTACTAAGGTCACTTAAATTCTTTAAATTCTCAATTATCTTAATTTTTTTGTCTAACAATAGTGAAATGTTGTGTAATTTAAAAATTTCTGAGATAGTCCCTTTTATTTCATCCTCACTTTGATACGCATTCATAAGGTTATTTAAGTATCTTTGAACATTTGCATTAATCACGAATAAATTCTTTTCTGTGCTAAACAATTTATTAATAGATGGAAGTTTCCTGTTGAGGTTAGGAAATAATTGACACCATGATTCAAGTAATTTAGCTCTGCTTATAATATTCCCGTAATATCGACAAGCACTAAACGTGCATCCTTTTATTAGAAACAACATACTTTATTTAAAATTATGTTTCGTAAAATTATACTCTTTTAAGTAAAAACATAGCCCCTACCTTCACGATTATATTTGCAACTGAACGGAGCGACAAGTACAACATGTGCTATCAGTATGAAAAACATGAAGGAAGTATAAATAGTTAAGATGGCTATTCGAAAATGATATATATTTTACGCAGTATATATTCTCAACATAAATGTGAATTATTTATTTTAAAATGTCACAAAATTCCCATTTGTACACAAAATTGATATTCCTGGAAAACCAAAAAACAAAAAGTGAAATGCTTGTTGTGCATAACGTCTTAAGTTCCCTCGATTGGTAATAGCAGGTTGTACCACCATTTCGATAGTTTTTACAATCTCGATTCAATTAAGTTTATCCTGTTTTGTACAATGTTAAGAAATACGACACGCGTGCACCTTCTTTTATAAGAATCAGTTTTACACTTGTAATTGAATTTGAATACATAATTCATCATAAAGACTTAACCATGACACGCTGACACAACACCTTTAAACTGTGTAGAATATACTTTACTTTCATGTTATAAAATTGTCATATATGATTGCTGTTTAATTTAACGAATCTATACATAGGGAAACGTACACACACGTAAGTAACATGCGTACAAAACTAGAATGAAAAATGTGTCGCACCAATTGTATCGATTTTCTAACGAGTATGTACAATTCATTCCTAATATATCCCGCTCTTCTCTATGTAATATTACATGAGTAAGAATTGTTATACACAAAACATAACGCACATAAAACCATTACAATTGTTATCGTTTACGGATAAATTAGAATAAATCTTATTGTTGCGTTTATGCATCGAGTAAATGTCCTTCTAATAAGTAATCCTTTAATAATATTAACAATTTACGCATACTACATTTACGAGCACGTGGTTACATTAAAATAACGACAAGTCGGAGTCTAGGCTTACTAAATATAAGTACAAAATCTGCTGCTTCATTCAACAAGTCTCTTTCTTTACCATAACCGATCCATCTTCCCAAATAATCAATTGTATTACGTAGAAAATCACAGAAGATGTAATAAATAAAAAAAAAAAATTTAAATAACGATCCTTTCTCTAATTTTTATGCAACTTTATCATTAGCGATCGCCAAACTAAGACTTGCGAAGCTTATCATTTGAAAGATCGATAATACCCTTCTCGTAGCAGACGACAAACGCGTGGCAAACGTTGAAATGAAAAATGCAATCTAGCGAATGATCACGAAAGGTTGTATCTCGTATGAAATGCAAGGATACACAAGCGTAAGGTTCCGCGAGAATATTGTTACATGTTTAGCCACTGACGAGAAAGGATTAAAAGAGTTCGTATAAGAAACGTGTACAGGCAAACCGTAGCTAGTGGTTGTTTAATGAAATATGATCGAAGGTAATTCAAAATGTTGCCCAATTCAAAGTAGGTAGCTCTGATATTCGGGACGAGTGCGCCAAGCGTACCGCACGAGAGAGACAGCAAACAATAGAGAAAGATATGCACACGGTAGACCAGTATAGAGCGGCATGGACAGCTACGATTGACGATACTATTTTTCATTAAAACAAGCACTACGCAAATTTCGAAAATAAGCGCTCACTACGAAACGGTAAGTGGTAAAATGTTCGACGATATATTAAAAATATTCAATAGAAATTGTTGATAAGTGTTCGTTACCGATTAACCGCGGCCGCGATGGAAATTGATTTTAATGTATTTATGTGCAGGCTTTATAATATTATAACGAAATCATGGAACCTTGCGAGAACCGATTACAAGAGAAAGTGCAAGGAGGTAAGATTAAATTAATTGCATTCACTATTATTTTACATCGTCGTTCGCGCAATTTTTATTATATAATCGTCGTTGTTATTTGTAGTAAAATTATGATTTCTATTATTTGGTAACCTTTTAAAGTTTTTCAAACGGTTTCAACTGTTGATCACTGATTCCATTACAAGATATTATACATGGTCAGAGAGTTTTTAATTTATGTTTTACGAGAATACAAAGTTCGTAAAATCATTAATGAAACGCGCGAAAAGAATTTATTTTATTTCGTTAATCGTATCATAGTGATAATGACGAATGTTATAATCTATTTATGATAGTGTTAGATAAATATTTTTAAAGAATATATGTAGCATTTTTTAAATAAAATGTTATTATTTTTTGATTTAA